ATAAAAAAGAATGAAGTAACGCCATTTGCAGCAACATGGATGGACCTAGAGATTATCATACTAAGTGAAGTAAGTCAGAGAAAGACAAATATCATATAATGTCACTTACAGGAAGAATCTGAAAAAATGATACAAACGAAATTATTTACAGAACAGAAATAGACTCACAGACTTAGAAAGCTAACTTATGGTTACCAAAGGGGAAAGGAAGGGTAGAGATAAATTAGGAGTTTGGGATTAACATATACATAGTACTATACACAAAATAGATAAGCAACAAGGACCTACTGCATAGCACAGGGAACTATACTCAATATCTGTTATAACCTATAATGGAAAAGAATCCTGAAAAGTGTGTGTGTGTGTGTGTGTGTGTGTGTGTATATATATATATATATATATATATGCATAACTGAATCACATTGCTGTACACCTGAAAATAACATGACCTTGTAAATCAACTATACTTCTAAATAAATAAATAAAAGAAGTGTGTATTTGAGCTCACACAATAGACCTAGGCCAGTTTCAGAGCATCCAAATTAGTGTTTGAATGTGAAGTGGAGGTGAGCTGTACTTGGAATTAAGCTCATACTTTTCTGTCTTCTAGAAGATCACAAATGAAAACAGCAAAGTCATAATTATATGACTAACCAGCAAAGGATCAATACACAGGCTAAAAATGGAGACACTGTTAACTTTTTCATGTGACTCTGGCCATAATTTCGTTCTTTGCAGCTAGTGGTTTGCCTCAAAGTGAACCGAAAGTGCATCTTGCCAACCATAAAATTAAGCAAATCCACACATAATGGACACCAGATAAATCCTTTTTAAATGGAACTAAGCTGAATCATACTCACCATCCAGACAGTGGTGAACCTTAAAAAAAAAAAAAACCAAAACCAAAAAAAAAAAAAGCCCTACAAACCTGTTGAGAGATAAGAATTCATTTCAAAACCCCAGATACGTTGGAATTTCAGGAGATTCTGCCTCTCTGAGGGGTAGAAGGGAAATCAAGGATGCAGAGGGCAAGGGCTGCATTTGTTTTGTTCCTTGAGTGAACGAGAGGTGAGGGCAGCTTGGAAAGGAGAGGGCTGCGTTAAGAAATGTGAGTGGGACCCATGCAGAGGCCATTGGCTGCCGAAAGCATCTCCTAGTTTGATGGTTTGATGGCTTCAGGAAATTACTTGCAAAGCTGGCTGGATTCACTCCAGATGGCCACAGTGGTGTGGTTTGTGAAACCATTAAAATGTAGAAAAGAGTCAAAAATATCCCTTTGGTCTTGAAGATACCAAGCCCTTATCCCCCAGTGAACAGTACAGGAAGCTCTGAGGGGCCCCAGGAGCTATCATGGGAGCTACAGAGCTGATGGGAGCAGAGGGGGCATGGCAGAGCCCACAGTCTCTTTCTCAACCTGTTTCTAATGTAAAAGTTTTAAGCTTTGTAGATAGTTTCGGTGGCAGGGGAGTGACTATTTGATCAATTCCTCCAAGGATGGTACATAACTGGTACTGCGATGCATTGGAGAGAAATTGATTTCCCAATGCCAGGAGTGCCTTAGGGCACTGGGCTTAAATGCCTCCAGGAGCCTGACGGAGAGGACTGCAGGCTTCCAGAAACTGGGCTGAAGGTGAGATCCTGGCATAAAGCATCCAGGAAAGGTGAATCTTGGTCCCCAACTGGTGTCAGGACAAAAGTCATATCAGCTGCAGAGGCTGAAAGGACATTTGCAGTCATGGGCCATAAAGCAAGCACTGCGCATTGGGCAGAAGTCTGGGTTTTCTGTTTATCTAACTTGGAGTAGTTTGGCCTAGGCGGTGCACACACACAGCTCATTCCCAGCACTGAAGGCAAATGGGCCACGGCCAGGTGAGCAATTCCAGACCCTACTGCCTGTCTTCCATTCCACCCTCTGGAAAACCAGCTCCACACACACTGGTACCGTCAGGCTCCTGCTGGCTCTGTGTCCAGGAAACCCCACTGAGCTCCCTAATCCAGGGAGGTTACTGTTACACGCAGAGCCGGCAAGGCACCCCACTCCCAAGGAACCACCTAATGAAAGCCTCATGGAGAGACTAAGGTTGCACAGACTCAGGCTAATTCCATCTGGGCCTCGTGCCGAAGCTATGACCTCACCGTCGGGCAAACCAACAGGGACCCCAGAAAGAAAAGATCAGTATGTGGGCCAGACCTGCTGCTAATCACAGCCAGCTGGGATGCAGGCAGGCACCGCCATCTTCCTGCCGCCCCTGGATACCAGGACCAGGATCTGCGGGCCAGGAGGCGTGGTCATCTTACAGCAAAGAATCCTAAGTTCTGGCCCAAACGCTTGTGTGTGTGTGTGTGTGGCATTTCACCATAAAAACCTCTGCCATTCTACAAGTTTCACGCCAAAGAGAAGCTTAATTAGGTAGGGCCACATCTCTGCAGAGAATCCCCAGTTACAGAAGCTGGGGAGGAAGGATATAATTAGAACCTGACTTTTTTTTTTTTTTTTAAAAGAACAGCTCAAAAGGCCCCATTAAGAGAAGGACACTGAAAAACAGACAATCCATCCATATCCAGAACTCAGGACCCCAGAAATTTTACTTACCAGCATCATTTGCAAAACATGTAAAAACACACACTTCAGCCTCAGCTTGGGCATTTTTTTTCCCTTAGCTCTTTTCACACTTAAGCATTTGATATGTTGCAAAAGCAATTCTTTTTGCCTACTCTGCTACATTGTTTGCATTTGTTGTACGCTGAATCTTTTGGAGGCAACAAAACTTTGAGGAAGCTGTGGGTTTGAACCCTGGTCCGAGAAGACCCCACATGCCGCACAGCAGCTAAGCTCGTGTGCCACAACTACTGAGCCTGAGCTCTAGAGCCCGCGCTCCAGAGGCCGCGAGCCACAACTACTGAGCCTGCGTGCCTACAGCCCGTGCTCTGCAACAAGAGAAGCCACCGCAATGAGAAGCCCGCGCACCGCAACAAAGAGTAGCCCCTTCTCGCCGCAATTAGAGAAAGCCCGCACACAGCAACAAAGACCCAGTGCAGCCAAAAAATAAATAAATAAAAAGAAAATTTTTTAAAAAAGGTAAATAGTAGTGTTTTCACCTGATGGGCTCACCATGAAAAAGGCCAATGACTTTGGCTTCTGTTAAAGGAACTAATAGCAATTCTCTACACGCTTTGCTTGGAAGTTCCACCCTCGGCACTGGTCACTAAGTATGATGTTGCAAATAAACTGGTGAAACCTGAAGTCTCTTAAACTGTAACCCCTATATATGGATGCCTGAGTCCTGACGGGCCCGTTGGACAGCACCATCAACACGAGATCCCCTGGGGACTCCCAAGTCCCGGTGGAATCAGGGATGATTTGAAAAAAAATGTAAAAATTCCCCATGAGCCAGGGTCTGATGAATGAATATACAAAGAACAAGGATGGACCTGGACGAAGACCCTTAAATCTCAGAGGAGTGACTCTCCCACGATAGCCCCAGATCATTTTGACTAAACGTTGCTAATTCCATTTGCTTTTAGTCCAGTTGACCATGTTTTATTTTACAAGTTGTGGGAGAGTTTCTTTTAAGGAAGAAACTCTTTTTTTTCTTTTTTTCTGGAAATGTATCTCTGAAGTGATGATGGGAATTCATGGACATACACAACATGTGCTTTGCCCCAGGTTGTCAGAAATACCTCTACATACAAAGCAGGGTCGACTCAGGCCTGCAAAGATCCAGTGAGTCACAATCCGTCGAGGCTGTAAGGACAGGGTTGGCACTCCACATACAACTGAACATCGCCGATAAAATATCTCTTTCCTGAACCAGCAAATACATGCCCACAGCTGCACTTGGTGGTTGGCACTGGGGTCCATTCACCATACGGTCATACTTATTATCATCCTTCCAACAAATCCAGCAGGGTAACAGGACACGGCCACGTTCTTGCAATTAGTCTGCAGGCCAAGCAAACATCTCCCTACCAGGGTCTTCATCTATCTCTCCCAAAGACATCCTGCCCCCTCCTATGTTTCCTTCTACTTGGTCTCTACTTCGTGAGTATACCCGAGTCCCCACAGCCCACCACTCTGAACCTTTACACCTGGAATCAAGCTGCTTTTCAGAGGGGGAGAGTGTGTGTTGAAAACAACAAAATAAGGAGGCTCCTTCCTGGACCTTCAGCCAAGGCAGGAAGGTCACAGCCAGTTTTAGAGCAGGAAAGAATCTTAAGGATCATCAAATGCCGTCATTTTTCAGAACTGTTTAAATACAGTGAGACCCTTTTCCTCAATGTGATTGTATGTAGAAACCCAGTATGTAAGACAGAGAAAAGAACTGTTATAGCCAAATGAAGGAATATGATTTGGCCATAAAAAGCAACGAAGTAGTGATACGTGCTACAATATGGATGACCCCTGCAAATATTATGCCAAGTGAAAGAAGCCCGTCACGAAGGACTGTGTATTACATGATTCCATTTACATGAAACAGCCAGAAGAGGTCAGTCCATAGAGACAGAAAGGAGATGAGTGGTTGCCTAGGACTTGGTGGGGGATAGAGGGATGGGGAGGTGATGAATAAGAGGTACAGGGTTTCCTTTTGGATGGTGAAAATGTTCTAAAATTGATTATGCCATTGGTTGCCCAAATCTGTGAATACACTCAAAGCCATTGAATTGCATAAGTTACGTGGGTGAATTTCATGGTGTGTGAATTCTTTCTCAACAAAGCTGTTCTGAAAGCAAAACAAAACCCTTCTCAGTGCTCCATCAGCCAGGCCCCCTTCCTCACCCTGCTCCCTCTAGAGGTCCCAGAACCACTTCTGCAGACCCCTAGAGGTCTACGGAATGTGGTTTGAAAAACCCTGATCTAGTTCAAGTTTCCACTCCTCAAAGGTAAACCAAGACATGAATCAAAGTCTTTCGACTCCAAGTGCAAGGGCCCTTAAACCCAAGATCTCCCTGATGAGTCCAGGCTCATCCCAGTGGGGGGACGCTGCAGGCCCGGGTCTCACCGTCCATGTCCAGGCGCTGCATTATGATGGCCAGTTCCACCTCACTCGGCATGTACCCCAACGAGCGCATGGCCATTCCCAGCTCCTGCTTGGAGATGAAGCCATTGCCGTCTCGGTCCAGAACCCGAAAGGCCTCTCGGATCTCTACAAGGGGAAAGCAAAGAAAGTCCAATGTCACAAGGTGTGGTCTACTGCATTGAAATGGTTGGCGACTGTTGGAAACTTCTAGCTGCTTTACAAATAGTCATGTGTCAAAACTCTTTAATCTGATGAAAAGGGTGGCCAAAAGAGGAACAAAAGAAAGGAAGAAAAAAAAGAGGGAGAGAAAAGGAGATGGGAGTAAAGGAAAGGGAGGGAAGGGGGATAAAAACAGAAGAGCAGCTTTGGAAGGAGGAGATAACTGGCCCTGAGCATCTAACACACAGAAGCCGGTAAACAATTAAACGGTGGTCCCAGCTGGGAATTGTGTTAGCCGACACTTTCCCAACAAGGATGACGATTAGGTTTCAGCGGTGAGAAGACAGCTACTAGCTTGGACTGTCAGGAGGAAAGGAGAATGAGATTCCCCTTTGCAGACTTACATTTCAGCTCCCTGCTGCCGCAGGAGCTGTGCCGAAAGCTTTCTCAACCTCCTAGGAGGACAGGAGTTAAGTACCCTGCTGGTTTTATTTCATTTCTCTAATTTACAGCTGTTTTATGGCCATAAACAACCTCAGATCAATAAGAGTGTCATTAAGAGCCCCAGAACCATCTTTAATCACATTCTCTGGGGCTGGCAGAGAATTTGACTCTGCCAGCAAGAAGGCCATTTCACCCAGCAGGGAAACTCCCATCCTCTCACCCCAACCAGAGTTGCTCTGCTTTCCACCCAGAGTACCTCCCTCCAGAGCCCCACCTCTGCCGCCGCCGCCTGTTCATCCTGGGTTGGCTGAGCATGTCCTAACACATCACACCCCTGCGAGGTAGCTCATGGGAATTCGATTGGAGATCACAGTCTGCGGATGAGAGGTACATCAATTGTCTCTGAGCTCCAGACAGCTTTGATTTGTCATCAATAAACCCAGTGTGAGCCCAGCTACGGCAGCCGCCAGCATTCATCAGGCCATTCAACAAGCAGCGGCTGCCTATAGCTAAGGAGCACGGGAGTTAGGACTGCAGAGAAATCTGCCGGACCTCGTGGCTCCCCTCCAGAGCCCCTCACTCCAGGTGGGAAGATAAGATCCAGGCAGAAATTTGCAGGAACTCTTCAAACTAATGCAAGATGCTGGCCCTAACCCTTTACAGTCGTCCCTTGGTATCGGCAGGGCAGCCGGCCCTCGAATCCATGGGTTCAGCATCCATGAAGGGTCAACTGTAGTTACCACTTCTCTAAATATCTGACTATCCTCCCAGCAAACACATTGAACCCTTACCCGAGTAGGCTTTCCCTTTCCTATTTGTATTAATTTCCTGGGGCTGCTGTAATCAATCATACAAACGTGGTGGCTTAAATAATAGAAAGTTATTCTCTCACGGTCTGGAGGCCAAAACTCTCCAATCAGTATCACTGGGCAAAATCAAGGTGGGGACAGACCCGCACTCCTCCAGAGGAGCCAAGGAAGATTCTTTTCCTGCCTCTTCCTACAAGCTTACTTCCTTGGCTAGTGGCCGCCTCACTCCAAGAGCTAGCTGCTCTGTGATCACATCACCTTCTCGTCTTCTGTCTGTGATGTCCCTCTGCCTCCCACTTACAAGGACAGTTGTGATTGCATTTAGGGACCGCCGTGTAATCCAGGGTAATCTCCCCATCCCAGGATCCTTCATTTAAAGACATCTGCAAAGACCCTTTTTCCAAGGTGACATTTACAAGTTCCAGGGATGGGAATCCGATACCTTTGGGGGTTGTTTTTCAGCCCTCTACACTCTACCATCAAGTGCTTCCGCCTGAAATACCTTGCAATCCTCTTTACCTGCCCTAATCATATCGGTCCTCCGAGACCAAGATGAGGGCAGCATATTTCACAAAAACACCTTTGCTCACCACAGCCAAGTTCCCTCACTGCCGACTGTTCAGCAGGTCATTTACTCCTCCCACGTGACACCTCGCACGTGCCAACTAGAAATAGGATGAAATCATGGTGCAGAAATCACGGCTTCTCGGAGCTGCGAGCTCCTCATACATTTCATTCACGGCGGTAGGTTCCCACCTACGCCCTGAAGGAGGCGCTAGACGGACAGCTGTTCAATGGACGATGGGTCTGAACAAATAAGCATCAGATATTAGCAGCAGATTCATTATCGGTACTAATTCAGCGCTCTGAATGCGCTACGTGAATAAATGTGTGCTCCGGCAGAGGGAAGCAGCCTGGGAGTCAAGACCCCGGGCTCCCAGCCAGGCGTGTTAGCTCATTAGGTCTGCAGCCAAATACTGAGGCCTCGGTTGTTCATGTGTAAATGAGCTGGGTTGGCCAAGAGAATCCTTAAGGTCCTTTAAGCCCCTTTCTAAGGATCTGTGGACATCGTTAGAGTGTTTAAGAGAAGAACAGGAAGCCTGTGTTCTCCTTCACACCCTATTGATCTGCTGTTCGAACACCCCTCTTTTTCCCATTGATGATATAGAAAACATTTTAGCCCTTTCCAAATTCTGAATTAAGAGGTTTGTCTGCATTTTGAGAATTTTCTCATCAATGCAACATGCCCAGTATTACCTAAAGCAGCCATATGTTTTCCTACCAGGTACCAGGTGGCCCTAAAAGAGCTCAGAGCCACGGCTCAGCTTGAGATCACGTCACACAGTGCTCAAGGACACTGGGGCAGAGACCACGCCTCACTCAGCCCAAGTCTCGACGCCAAGGGCAGGAGGATACAGAGGGAGGTCTCCTGAGACGGGAGTCAGCCTACAAGGAAGTCCATCTAGCTCTGCCCTGTGACCACGGCAGGCCTCTCCCTCAGCCTCAATGTCCCCATCTGAAAACTGGGTTGGGTTGGATCTCCTTCCAGCCTCTATGATAGGGTTTTGTACATCAGGGCTGACACAAACCGTGCAACAGTAGAAAATATCAGATGATGACAAGGGCCCTGCCTGGGGTCCCAGAAGCGGCTGGAGTCCCAGGTGGGCCGGCCTGGTGGTCAGCTTCAGGCTGAGCCCTGTCCCTTGTTCTCTGGACCACTTCTCTCCTGAGGTACCGCCTCCTCTTCCCATTCCTCTGACTCAATCCTGAACTCTCCGGGCTGATGGTATCACTCCGAAGGATGGTCCCCTTCTGTTGACAGGGCCTGGCCTCACTCCTGTGGTCCCCTGCATGCCCTAGATCTTACTGGCGAAAGAGCCTCTATCCTTACACTGGTCACTCCAGAGAGGCCTGGTTGGGGATGTTTGAGAACTTGACCTGGAAATGAGGGCCTTGGTGGGTATGCCTCCCGACCCTCACCTTGCTGCCTGGGTTATGCCTAGGGTTGCCTCACCCCTGGGCTACTGGATTTGGTAAATCAGACCTCACACAGGGGTCTTCCAAGAACTGCCCTGCTTGAAGGAACATGCTCCCTTGAGGCCTCAAACCCCCATGGTTTACCTGTCTGCAGTCTCCAGGCTGGCCCTGCTCTAGCCCAGGACAGGATGGGATGGGGCAGGTACATCTCAGCTCTAAGTTCTGTTTTCTATGGCCCCCAAGTAAGTGGGACAAAGCCACTCTTCTCTGTTTACAAAGAATATCTGCTCCCAGGGGGACTTCCCTGGCAGTCCAGTGGTTAAGACTGCACACTTCCAGTGCAGGGGGCGTGGGTTCGATCCCTGGTCGGGGAACTAAGATCCCATATGGCGTGCAGCACGGCCAGAAAAAAAAGCTGGAGCTCTGGAAAAAAAAATCAGTAAAATTGATAACTCTTAAAAAAAAAAGAAACTAGCAGTAAATTATTTAAAAAAAAAAAAAAAGAATATCTGCTCCTGTGTGTGTATGGTGTGTGGAGGGGGAGGGTCTGTGTGTCTGTAACTGCAGAGGCAGACAGAGCTCACTAACTTCGTTTTCTTTCAAAGTAGCAGAGAGGAGGGGAAAAAAAGTACAAAACTAGAAATCCATAATGGGAGCCTCTAGAGATTTCATCTTTCCAGGGTAAGGAAAGCCCAGGAAACAAGACGCTTATTAGAAAGAAATGGGTCTTGCAGTCTGAGACACGTGACGTGTGCCTCATTTTATTTTTAATAGCAGAACAGGGTGTGAGAAATATGCCCATAGAACAGCAGAGACATGGGAGCAGGCCGGATCCCTCTGCCTCTGGCTACAGGCAGCCTGGGCACAGCACGAAGGGGCTCTGGCCACTTTCCCCATCCTCGGGAAGTGGAGACCACAGATCAAGTTTTTGGGAACAACTCAGTACTGTGGTGTGCTTTCCACTGGAATGTATACCCTCTTTAGGTGAAAGTCCCTTGTGCTTCGGAGTTATATAAGCATGCCGTGCTTTCAGTCTTTGATTCAATCTCAGCCTCACGAAGCATGTGCACACCAGGAACCAGCACGGCCAGTTCTGCCCTCTCCAAGGTGACTTCGTGGACCACAGAGGGGCATCCATGATGCTCATGGAGGCTGTCCAACTGTCACTGTGCGGAATATGAAAGGAAACATGGTAAGACACATCTTCTGAAAAAAAGGAATCCACTCTCTGCCTGTGGAATCTCCCAGAAGCAAAGTCTACATTCCCACAGGGACCTGGGCCTCTCCTCCCTGGAGTGAGGTTGATGTCCTGGAGCAAAGCAAGGCCTGGGATAGAAATGATCCTGTTTTAGAGAACAAGAGATGTACTGCTCATTATGCCAGCAAGTCTATTTTCTTGAAAATACCTGCAGCCACCACTGGTACCCCCTGCATCTGGACCCAGTGCCCTCTGAGAACCATGCTTTGGTTCTGTGATGCTCCCTATGTCATAGCCAATTCAGGCAGGAGCGATGGCAGAGGTGCGGCGATCATGCAGAACAGACTCATTAATCAGGCCACCCCAGCAGAGTGTGTATCAGATGAAACCCGGACACCAGGCAGAGTCAATATTCATTGGCTAATGTTCTAGCTCTGAAGAATCAGCTGAAATTCATTGTGCTAACTGGCAAACTCAAATTAGTAACGAAGAACAATTTTTCCTATCTCAATCCCCGCAAGCTGTGAAATCTGTTTATT